ATATATTTATATATATATATATATATATATATATATATATAATATTTTAGGCTGGTGATCTACCTGACCTATTCTCTGTATTTAAACAAGTGTTCTGGCCGGCAGCAGGTTCAGGGTTACATAATTCAACTATACCAGGTATATAAATATAACAGGAGAAGGGCTATGAGGCTGAGCCCCCTCCCTGGAATATAATAAACTTAAGACCCCCCCCCCTGGACAAATTCCTGGTAGATATATAATTGTAAACCAATCAAAAGGATATAAGCTCGAAATGGGCGGAAATGGAGCTAAAGAAATGCAACTCGAGATAGCGGAAACTTCGGTCGGAGCCGGGTATATGTTTCCTAAGTAAGCTTCTCAAGGGATGACAAATCTAAAGGCGGTAGGCTGGATAAACACTCTAACTCCCACACAATACATAGACGAAAACTTCTTGATGAAAATATATTTCAGTAGCGAAGTTTCCTACAACAAAATACAAATTGTTATTGACGTACATTGACGTACGTTAATGACTGGTAATAAAGATTAAACAGTTGAGGGTAATTAACAATAAATGAGTATTGTTGTGAATTGAACAATTGGTTGAGAAACATGTACCATTGAAAATTGAACAAAGGCTTAAAAGGTATTTGGAAACTCTAGGTTTTGCAAGTTTTGTGGATCATATTTTATTACTGTTGTGAATCGATAAATAAAAGGTTTAAAAGGTGCTGTTGTGAATTGATAAATAAAAGGTTTAAAAAGGTATTGTTGTGAATCAAACATAAGGAACTTACGATCTAGAGTTGCATAGCATAGTTTGAATTGTAGTCTAAAGCAATTTTAATCTTCTGAAATAAATATTCATTTGGTTAAAGGAATTTCACTGTTTGTTTGCAAATGATTCACTGTAACTATGTTTAAAATTGTTTCTTTTAATGAACTTTGAGTTTTATTAACTACATGAGGCTTTTGTTTGCTTTTACGCGGAGACCTTGAAAATGTTTGGTTTGGTTTGGCAGAGGTACAATTTGTCAAAGACGACCTTACAACAGAGTAGATTATGGGGTATGGTTCACAATCTATATATAAATTTGGCTTGTCTGTTTGTCTGTTTGTATCCAAATAACGTCAAAACGGCTGAACTGGTCGGGCCCAATTTTTTTGTGGCACCTTGCGTTATCCCAGGGAAGGTTTATGAATGCCTAAAAAGAAGGGCGCGAAGCGCCTTAAATTTCTAGTAATATATAAAATTTTTATATTGTATGTTACTATGAATTACATATTGTACTATTTTTTTTAAACAAACAATCGACATTTCACACATTTAAGATTCCCTGTTTTTAATACTGCCAATTATAAAGGTCAGTTTTTTCTTGAGTTTATAATATAATACTTTCTTAGAAAATGAAGAAATGATGTCTTGAAAAATGATGCCAGGTTTTAAAAAATGCTGAAAAAGAATTATTTTTAAAAATTCACCAACTTAAACAGGAAAATCCGCAATAAAACTTCACTCCATTAATTCTAAACAAAGGAAAAGAGTTTTATTTTGAATGAATGGTAAATTAATCGCGTTGTTGTTTAATTACCTGAAAACTTGAAGATGAAAAGATTATATAATGTTCATGAAACCTAGCCACAGGATTTTAATTAAAATATACGGGTTCTATTATTCTAGTACCAACCAGAGGGAAATTCTATTTTGAAGGTGTTTTTTTTTCGGCCGATTTTTGATAAACATTATGAAGATTTACAAAATATTTTTAGGGGTCGACTTGGGTTCTCAGCCTTGGGAGTATGGTCCGTACATACATCAGGTTAAAATTATTTTTTTAAATTTTTTTATATTTTTTTATCAAAAATTTAAAATACAGGGTATAATATGTTTTTTTTTCAAATTGAAATTCCTTGCCTATAACAAAATACGATGGTCGAATACAATGTTTTAAAAAAATTGTTAAAGTGAAGAAAATGGTGGAAAAGGAAACATGTTTTCGTTCGATTTAACATTTTCAAAGATTTGTTTAATTTTACCTAATTTCATTAATTGTTATGCATGCAGTTCCAATGCTTTTAATTCTGAAAAAGAGATTTTACCTATATTAAACTTAGAGTAAAGTTTAAGCGAACAAAACAAAGAATACACCTATTCATGCATTCATACATCATTCAATTATTCACCATAAACTTGGAAATAAACCATAAACATTTGTTCTTTTTCTTTAAAAAAGACTGGAAGCGTAATTTCAATTAACCCTTCAAGCAAAGATAACAATGCCAAAATCCCAACGGTATCCTTAATCCCTTAGTCCACTACAAATATGGAAGGTAACGTCGTTTTTCTGAATCCAAAAGTTTTTAACTCCGATAATATCTCCGTTTCTTCTTGTAAGCAAGAAATGTACAAGTCCACGGTTCTGTCAATATTCCAGAAAGCTGCGACTTTCGATCACAATTTAACCCCTTATACATAATTTTTTTACCTTTTTTCTTAAATACTTTTTTGTCGGCATATACGTGTTGAAATATAGACGAAAACACGTTTTATTTCAAATAAAAGAAACCAAATGCTTCTCACTCTGGTTAGTTCGGGATGAGTCGCAACAAATAAAATAAAACAGTTTAAATAAACAAAACATGGATATCTGAACAATCTGATACATTAGACCAGAAAAAAACGACAAACCCCTTCAAGGGGTACCGTTGTAAATCGTGCGGTGTCATCTTTGCTTGGAGGTTCAATTATATTTACGGTTATATTTACCTTTAGGAAAGAATGATCTTTTATGAATCATGAAATAGAGTTTTAATATTTTAACAGTTATAGTAATTTGTGTTTAAATTGAGATTAGAAACAAAACTTTGAAAATTTCGATTAATTTTGATTTTCCAAAAAGAACAGAACATATTTGGAAACTTGAGAAGCTCTATGTAATGTTGCCGCGTACAAATTCGTCACATGACTGCCATGTTTATAATGACTCGCATTATTACTATTATTAGAACCAAGGAGAGGAGTACAGGGTTTGTGCACAGAATTTTCAGTGACGTATTCGGACAGCTTAGAAACTAGTTTTATTAAAACAATAACAAATATTGTAAACAAGGGTTGGAAATTTCCCGGGAATGTTTACTGGCTGTAGTTTATTTACAATAAACTCAGATTCTGAGCTGTTCTAATACGTCGTAGCTAGATGTAAACCAAGGTTATAATACAAGGAAAGTTATTTTTTTAGAGCTGTATGCATTTTTTGTACTGCAGTGTACTGTCTTAGGGCGGAAAAGTAAACACAAGACGGATGTCACAGCCTGACATGGAATCCATTTTCACATAAAAAATCAATGAAATATTCTGGTCATAGAAACTATTATGTGAATTATCAAAATTATCAACATTAAATGCTTTTATCGTCCTCGGATACCAGACAAACACTAAGGCATCTATTCTTGTTTACAAATTCCGCCCAGAGAGAACTGGTTTCAATATGAACGCAGAGTATACGCGACCACAATTAACTTTCCTTGCATTAGTACCTTGGATGTAAACAAACTTTAGAACTACTCTTCTTGACTATACAAACTAAGGATGAGGAGGAGGAGGAGGAGGAGGAGGAGGAAAAATCTCAATATTCTGAGGAACAGTACAGAAGAGGAAGAGAGGATAAGGAGAACCTGAACCATGAAGAGAACTTGAACCATGAAGAAAATACAGACCATAAGGATCCGGAGAAAAATATTCATAGAACTAGCCGAGAGGATTGCATAAACAGAATATCAAAAGGAAATATTCTAAATAAAAAATTCAGACACTTTTTGTATCTCTTCATCAAGAAGAGCAGAGCAGACTGTGCAGGCCTTAATTCTAACATTGTTAAATCCAAAGCTGAGCAAAATAAGACATTAAATATTTACAGGCCATTGAATCAAGAAAGGCTGGAGGAACTGTTTTTACTTAATATCTGACATGTTTACACCCTACCGGCGTAAACCTTCGATATTACAAACTATTTACTCAACAAAATCAAATATTTTGAAATATTACAGTTTCAAACTCAAGTTACAAAGATATAAGAAGTAGAAAATTTCAGTTTGAGAAGAATAATCAGATCTTTTACACATAATTTCATTGCAATCTTAAGAAGTTACGACTCCAAAGGTGAACCCCTCTCTTGTGAATTTGTTTTGCAGGCGCGTAGTAAGTAATTTAGATCTTAAGAATATTTGATCAGAGGTTGAAGAGACAGAGCTGAACCAACGAGTAGACCTGGAGCTAACAATGCGATCCATACTTTACATAGAGGAAAGGTTGAGGTAAGCTTTAGAGAATTTATCTCACATCCTCTATATAGAGGAGAGGTTGAGGTAAACTTTAGAGAATTTATCTCACATCCTCTATATAGAGGAGAGGTTGAGGTAAACTTTAGAGAATTTATCTCACATCCTCTATATAGAGGAGAGGTTGAGGTAAGCTTTAGAGAATTTATCTCACAACCTCTATATAGAGGAAAGGTTGAGGTAAGCTTTAGAGAATTTATCTCACATCCTTTATATAGAGGAAAGGTGGAGGTAAACTTTAGAGAATTTATCTCACAACCTCTATATATAGGAGAGGTTGATGTAAGCTTTAGAGAATTTATCTCACAACCTCTATATAAGTACAGATATGATATAAATGTAAGATTACTAGTACAGATATGATATAAATGTAGGATTACGAGTACAGATTTGACATAAATGTAAGATTACTAGTATAGATATGAAATAAATGTAAGATTACTAGTACAGATATGATATAAATGTAAGATTACTAGTATAGATATGATATAAATGTAAGATTACTAGTACAGATATGATACAAATGTAAGATTACGAGTACATATTTGATATAAATGTAAGGTTACTAGTATGGATATGAAATAAATGTAAGATTTCGAGTACAGATTTGATATAAATGTTAGATTACTAGTAAAGATATGATATAAATGTAAGAAAATTTTGGCTTTCAACTTTTCCATTTCTTTAATTGTTGCTTTCCATGGAAAAGTTAGGTTTCATTTTCTGATTTAATTAATTAATTTTTAAAAAACCTTTAGACCACATTTAACACTAGAATGCAAAAATTATTGAATATTGATCTGTTCAATACGGGCTCAATTAAATCAAGTACAAAGGTACCAATCAATTCTTATTTTTTTTCTTTATTTTTTCTTCTTTTTGACCTCCCCCCTGATTAATATTTAGTTTTATTATATATCAATTCATTCAATCATTCATCAGTCATTCAATCATTCATACACATACACACATATATATATATATATATATATATATCAACCTATATATATCTCTATATACCTATTTATCTAACCTATATATATATATATATATATATATAAAGAAGTAATCTCTGTCTGTATGTCCGCCTTGTCCGATCATAACTAATAAAACCATCCGACCGATTGAAGGACATTTGTAGAACCAGGATAATTGTCTTAGAATAGGCAAATCTGAGTTTCCAAGCTAGTTTTTATCTCTGTTTGTGTGTCTGTTCATAACTCGTTACACCCCTGGACCATTTATCTCATTTGTTTGGTGATCTCGATAGAACCACTGGAATGCGTGAATATTCTTAGCTTGGTTTGTTTAGGTTTCCAGGTAAACCTGGGATGCCTAAGTAGAATTATATATTTGCCTTCTCTGTTGGTTTTGTCGAAACGACCGAGCCAAATGGGGTTACGATTCATGGTACAGGATAAAAAAATTCTCTTTTTAAAATTGAATTTTGAACATCTTGGAAATATATTTTGGAAATCTATGTATCAAAAACTAAAAAGGACAAATGCTTTCTACTACAAATGTGTTACACATATTTTTGTATTTTTGTTATTTTTCCCTCCTTGCTTTCTCGTGTATTGTTGTTTAATGTTTAGAAACCTGTCTTCTGGTTCCCCTGGTCACACTCACGTCAAATTAAAATCAATGACAATGAAAGAATTGGAGGTAAGTTTTCTATAAACCTAGAAGAATTGGAGGTAAGTTTTCTATAAACCTAGAAGAATTGGAGGTAAGTTTTCTATAAACCTAGAGGAATTGGAGGTAAGTGTTCTATAAACCTAAAAGAATTGGAGGTAGGTTTTCTCTGAAATAAAAAATGTCAAAAATTTATGTGTTGTAGATTAGCACTCATAATTTGCCCTAAATTTTAAATTCAAAATTTTAACCGTTCTACAAAACTCCCCCCTTACTGTTTGGCCTACTTTTATTAGTAATTTTTTTTTTGTTCATTTTGATATCAATATTTTTTCATACGTTTTAAAGAAAATTTTTTTTTGGTTTACATAGATATAAACAAAAAATAACTTTTTCCCTAATTGTGATAACAAAAAAGTTCACTCTTAGTATTCATGTATTAATTTCCCTTGATTACCTCCTTTACTTTGTACCCGTCCTAACACTGCTTTTTATCTAGGAGAAGTTTGGGTTCCTGGACTGGAGTATTTTCTTCTCCAGGTCCTTTGAGATCATAGATCATGATCTAGACCAGGAGACAATAGTATTGGTGGATGAACCCTATCTACAGGTTTATCTAATACTTTTCTTTCGAGTTCAGAACTTGTGAATGTATTTCTCAAAAAGATTAACATATCTCTTCACATCAGAATTTTAGACAAACTACAAAGCACGAAATAATGCAAATAGATAATCACAATTTACTATGTAGTTTGGACCCGCCTAACCAGTGTAGGTTGTTTTAATTGGTTGGCCCATTATAGGCGAATAAGAATTGTAGATAAATGGATGTACATTGTACAGCGTTTTGCTCATATTTAGAATGTAAGTAGTCTACTAACTGAGTTAGAACCTAGATATAACTATCATGTGTTTAGGGTGTGAGTAGTCTACTAGATGAGCTAGAACCTATATATAACTATCATGTATTCAGGGTGTGAGTAGTCTACTAGCTGAGCTAGAACCTATATATAACTATCATGTATTCAGGGTGTGAGTAGTCCACTAGCTGAGCTAGAACCTAGATATAACTATCATGTATTCAGGGTGTGAGTAATCTACTAGCTGAGCTAGACCCTAGATATAATTATCATGTATTCAGGGTGTGAGTAGTCTACTAGCTGAGGTAGAACCTAAGTATAACTATCATGTATTCAGGGTGTGTGTAGTCTACTAGCTGAGGTAGAACCTAAGTATAACTATCATGTATTCAGGGTGTGAGTAGTCTACTAGCTGAGCTAGAGCCTAGATATAACTATCATGTATTCAGGGTGTGAGTAGTCTACTAGCTGAGCTAGAACCAACCCAAATCCACAATTATCTGGTGTGGAGGTTGGTTGTATCCTTCTACCCCAGCAAGTACAGTGAGGAGGAGAAGAGGAAGGAAACCTGTCTGAAGCAGACCGAGGATGTGTTTGGTCCGGTGAGTAAACTTGTAAACTTTTATTGCTGATATTTGGCAACAAAGATTGTGATTTGTCTGTCATAGCTTCCATTCAATGTTTTGATTGCTTTCCAAATTCAAACTCATCTTATGCTTTCAATTCAATAGTCTCTTTAATATTTTCCATTTCCTTTTCCATTTCCATGATCATCTTTACTTTTATTCCATTCCAACATTATCATTTATTGTCCATTTTAAACCAATGCTCCTTAATATCTTCAAACTACATTCGTTTATCATGGTTTATGAAGTGTTGTATATATATACTTTATGGCTTAGTTATACATTTTCCATAATAACACTTGCATAAATATTTTTTTTTTTTTTCAAAAACATTGTAACACTTGCCATTTGTTACATTTGCCATAATTACTTTTGATATAAATCTGATTATTTAGTTCATGTCTGCGCTAAATTTCTTGTGAAAATTCCCAACTTTAGTTTACAAGCTGGTTGAAATCAGAAAAGTTAACTGCCATAATTTCTCAATGGAGGACCTTTCAGTGACCTTCGAAAATACCAGTAAGACTAAATCCATGTTTTAAAACAACAATAACTATATCTACATAGCTATTTCCTCCTTTATTGAGAATTAAACTGTAACCATTATAAAAAGTGTAACTTATGACAGTGTAATTTTTTGCAAGTGTTACTTATGGCAAAAGTATTATGGCATGTGAAACTGATCCTTCTTTATAATTTCAGGCCATAAAGTTGGCGGGAATTAGGATTATATTGGGTGCAGGGATTAACATGCATTTAAACAACATAAACATAATGGTTCCACTTTTATACTTTAAGTTAAATATCTTAATCACGACAATACCCTTTAAACCGTAATCTAGGTAACAATGAGTAAAACATCGTTGTTTTTATTCGAAAACATTGTTAAAATTTGACTACTTCCTCCATTGTATCTGCAACATAAATATGCTTTTACGTTTATAGAAAAACCGCAATTAAAACATTTTTTAGCCACAAAAATAGAAAATAAGGATGTGAACAGTCCATTTAAAAGCTATTTATGGAACTTAGGATTCTAAAATTTATGTAGAGAGAGATTTAAAACAACGGTGTTTATGTAACTCAAACGATTCATATAATCCTTGCAATCTTAATATTAAACTTCTGAAAATGAAGGGTCAAATTAATGGCATATTATTAGAAAATCCATGAACATATATGCAGGGTGTCTCTAAAGAAACGGTGACTTATTTATAATCGGATTTTCAAGATTTAGACCATTTTTGATATCTACGTACAATTTAAGATTCACTGAGCCCAATTTGTTAGATCTAAAAATAACGCTTTCATATTCTCATACACCTTGAAGCCTCATTTACTTTACGAACCTAAAGTCAAAATCAGGAAAGAAATAGCTGCCCTGGACCCTGCTGTCTCCCAAAAGACTATTTTTAAAGTAAGATCAAGGACCCAAAAGTGTCTTTGCTGCTCATGGTGGACATTTTGAAAAGATTGTAATAAACTATAAACTAAATTGTAATAAAAAGATTTTAAAAATCTTGAAAATTCGATTTAAAAAGTCTGTAGAGTGTAGACTCTTACTCCCCGTTTTATTAGACACCCTGTATATATATATATATATATCTGGAAAACCCTACATAAATATTACACTTTAATGTTTTTTTGCAAGACCTTTTCTTAAAAGTCAAGATCTAGCAATAACTACTATGTAGTTAATTATCTAGTAGTTTGAACAATATTCTCTAGCTCTCAAGTTCATGAATTCAAGATTCAATCTATTGTCTTCCTTTCAAGTATTTAATCTTAATAAAGAGATGGAATTGTATAGTTTAACAATACATAATATCTAGTTCATGCGTGTCATTGGATAATATGAAACTTGTCAGATATCCTATTGGTTCTCAAAGTACTATGTTAGAACTGATTACTCTTCTCTTACGCTTATTTTTAATTTTTAAATCCATAGTAAAATGTTCAAATACGGACCAATGAGAACCTTTAATCCATTCTTTTGACCAATGAGAGTTTGAGCATTAAACACGGACAGTTACGGTTCTATAGAAAAGATTTCATAAACGGTTTAATTTAATCCTTCGGGGGTAAATATATAAAGATCGGACTTGAAGGGAGAGACCGGCTAGACATGGTAGTTGAGCTGAAAGTGCAGTATTATAGAGAAAAACTTTAGAATTAATTTGATGGTAGTTGAGCTGGAGTGCAGGATTGTAGAGAAAAACTTTAGAATTCTTTGATACCAATGAGAGATTTTTCGGTGTACAATTTTTAAATAAGAGCGTAAAGTGGTTTGTAATATTTCAACATGAGGCATGTATCAAATGAATTCTAAAGTATTTCCCTACAATACAGCACTTTCAGATCAACTTACAATGTCTAGTCGGTCTCTTCCTTTAATTGAAAAATGTCCAAAATAATAAGATATTTATTTTCCCCCAGGTAATAACCGCGATGTATGTCCGAGACAAGACGGTGGAGTCAAGCAGGAAGGTTATCCAGGAGGTGGAGATGATGGTGGATATCATGAAGGAGGCCTTCAGCACCAACATGGACAAGATGAGCTGGATGTCAGAGCATTCAAGGTAGACAGATAATTTTTTACAATTTATTATTTTACATTTTAATTTTATAATTTGGATGCAGTTAATACAGAAAAATTCTAATTTTATTATTCGTCTTGTCATCATTTCTTCCTTTATGTCTTTTTCTTCTTTTCACTGTAACCGGTTCTGATAATTTTGAAAAAAAATCGTGGAGACCAGTATTTTTTGGACACTAAGATGATTGTATGTTTTGGTGTATTCTAATTTGGCTGACTCAGTTAGCAGATTTATTGCAGTAACCAGGAATGTCTGACGTTACATAGTTGATCAGGCTGGTTTAAGGTCAGAAGGGTGGTAGGGGGGGCCAGGTGGAAAATGGTTTCGGCAAATGTTACTTTGTTTTTTACGTCCAAATCCTAGTTTCGCCTTGTGGACTTAAAAATGGAGCCATCACAACATCTGTCCACTAAGTAATCAATTCCAAAACTGTTTGTGACAAATAGAGGAAATGGAAGTTTTGGAGTAGGTCAGGAAGGGAGGGTATCGAGGGACCTCCATAGAAGACCCCTACTTTCTCCCGGATTTAAACTGTTTCCCAGTTCTGTGAACTTTGTTAAAAGGGGACCCATTGAAGTTGCACCGTATGTACATAAATGGGGAGTTGGCGCTATTGTACGTCCTATCAGGATTCTACTTTCTATGTTTTGATTCTAAACTTCATTTCATTTAATAGGAATGTAAGAATAATGTAAAGTCACTTTAAGTTTGAAATCTAACATGCTTTTATATATAAATCCTTTTTTAAAGAGGTATAAATAAATTCCTTTTCTTATTCTTTTGGCATGGTAAACGAGGTCGAAAAGTCGCATAAAATGAATGAATTCTTGAGTTGAGAGTGTAATGGATGGTTTAATTTAGAAATTGATTCATGTGTTGAAATTGTAAAATTGTAAAAATAAGGATGCTGAACAAAATATATTCATTTCAGACCTCTCGATTTCAAAGTCTATCATAGTCTCTAGCGTTCAAAGTTAGACCAGCCGTTGTGAGTTTTGTGAGAGTGCTTTCAATTCAAATTAACGAAATGGAAGAGAAAAGTTGTCTGGAATGATGGATCTAATTGTATATCATGATCATGTTATATATTTCAGGAAAGCTGGAAAAGAAAAGTTGTCTGGAATGATGGATCTAATTGGATATCATGATCATGTTTTATATTTCAGGAAAGCTGGAAAAGAAAAGTTGTCTGGAATGATGGATCTAATTGGATATCCTGATCATGTTCTGAACAGTACATGGCTCAATCAAAGGTTTATATTATCTTTCTTCTAATCAAGAAAAGATATAAGGATTAGAAAATTTTAGTTTGTGGCAAAGATTATAATTCCTTTTTTTCATATTTGCGGAGAATCAAGAATCGCTTTCCATATCATAATCGTATTAATCCTAATCAGCAATTAAAATCGAAACTGTAAATTTTGATCTTGATTTTCCAACTCCGCTTTATTTCCAGGGATTATACATTTATTGATTTTAAACACTTTTTTTTTCTTCCAGATTTGCCGTTTTTGATATATATGAAAAGTTGATATTAATAATAATTTTATTTCCGTGCAATTTTGAATAAGAAAAATAATATTTGGTATCTACACTAACAACGGAAAATGGCTAAATAAAATGGATCAGTTAAACCCGAGATTGAACAGAAATCCTCTGTTGACAGCTCTCACATTCTACCAAAGAGAATAGAATATATATTAGAGGGGAATTTAGTCAATCCTTCGGTATGAATTTTTCAGTCCCTTTCAGCCTGAGTTCAAAGTGTACAAATCATGTAAATGTTCACAAATTATATGCAGTAGAGTACATTAATACTGTATGTTCCCTAGACTATTCATTTCAATTTCAAATTTTTAAAAGCTGTTAAATAAACTTTTTAAAATGAATTAGGTGAATAAAAACATCATTTGATTTATAGTTATAACGGAAAACCATTCTTTGTAAAGTGAAAGGCATATAGTCTATGTGAAATGATCATTGCATCAATTATGAAACCAACCTATTTCATAATTTGGTTTTCTTTTAATATTAATTTTAGATTTTCTATAAAATGATGTTCCAGGGCCCAACAGGTTATATAGCACAAATATGTGAAGTACATCTGCAGTATTGAAACAGTACAACAAAATGGCCGTTTTACACTTTTTTCTAGTAAATTCTACTCTAATATATATTCTATTCTCTTTGCATTCTCCAAACATGTTAACAATTCCTTTATGTTTAATTAGGGTAGAGGGTAATCTTGGTTCAATGGATTTATTATTCATCTGATCTTCTAGAGTTTACATATTCAGAGTTTCTTCTAATTAAACTTTGCTTTCGCTTCACATTCAGTTTTATGTTTAATTTCAGAATTAAGACAAAATCATTGAAATTCTGATCCTATATTTGTGAAATTATATAGAGACAAAAGTTACTTTAAATTAACATGTTGCCACTGGGCAAGGAGTTTGGCGCTTATTCCTCTAATTAATATCCCCCCCTCCCCTCTTACCAAAAAAAAACTTAATTGCATGCTAAGCATTATTATTCTATTCATATAATTATGAGTCGTCACTTCTTCCCGACTCTTTTAGGATATTTCTGCTAAAAACTAATAATTGAAACAAATACAAAACTAAATTAATTTTACAAAAAAAAGGTTACGAAGCCGTGTTAAAATTGAAGATTTTATTAAAGCGTTCTGATTGAGTCTTTGCCACAAACTCAGATTTTCTTGATATTTTTAAACTTAAATTATTTAATTTAAAAGAATTCATAGTTTGAAATATCTAAAATCTGCGACATCATGGGTTGGAAAGATAAAGGGATTAGAAAATCAAAGTTTTTTTGTTGCAAATGACTCATATTTCTTTGCCGCAATCACTTTATATCTGATTTCTATGAAAATTGTTAAAACTCGCTAAAGGTTACATATATAATCTATTGTTATGTGGTCAAAATATGTGATATAATCATCATAAGAACAGGAAAGGCGACTTTATTCTTAAGGTTTCATCTATATATATACTTGCTTGCTTGTCTGTCTGATGTTTGATAACCAATAAACGTCAAAATGGCCTGGAACAATCGGGCCTAAATTATGTGTGGTACCTCATATGACCCCAGGGAAGGTTTATGGATGCTTAGAATTACAAAAAGTTGTCTCCAAAAATTGATGATTTTTGTAAAATTTAGAAAATCTACGAAAACAAGATTATAAATCCGCAAGAAAATTTTTTTTTGTTTTTCCGGAGAGAAAATGTTCAATATTTAGGAACAATTAAAAATTGAAATATAAGATAAATATATAATATATTGTAATATTCAGATATGAGGAGGTTGACGTGAGCAACGACTACCTAATGAACATCATCGCCTTCCAGAGCCATGAGAGAAAGGAGGGCATGAAACTATTTATAAAGTAAGTTTCAGTTTGAAACTTTTTAATAAACGAAGCTAGCTTGAGTGAATGATTCTTATTGGTAAAACTTTCGAATTATTCACCAATGAGAGATAATTTTCTTCCAAATCGGCTGCAATGAATAGATATCACTTGTAGCGAGAAAGAAGAATTAATCTTGATGAGTTAAACCGGCTCAAATTAGTTCCGTCCATTCATAATTTACCATCTCAGAAATAATTCAGCTGCAGTCTGTTTAGCAGTTTTGTAGAATTTTCCATTGTCATAGAAAAGGAAATAATTTGTTCTGGTTTCTGGTATCGTTAGAGTATATCAGAAATGATTCACAACGGTACCCTCTAATTCTGTATCTAACAAATCATTGAATAGTAAACGTTGTTTCTCGGCCTAAAAAGTGCATGGCAATGCCCGTTTTATAACAGTATCCTACCCCAGAAACCTTAATCTAATCTAAATGTGGAAAATACCGTCGTTTTCGAATTCGAAAAGTGTTCATTTTTTGTGATTTTCTCCATTGCTTCTTAAAAGCAAGAAATGCGCAAGTCACTTTCGCAGAGAAACAGAAACTGAAAATAAACAGTGTAAAGGAACAAAAACATTGATATGTTATTCATACTTGACTAGACAACGCTTTCAAGGGTATTGTTGTAAATAGGAGGCTCACTTGAAATTACGATTAGTCCCTTTAACTTGAAATCAAATTGATACATCTAATCAAGAATCGGGAATGCTACTAATTAAATAGATACATTTTTCACATTTATTTATTAATCAGAGCCTTAAAATTCGATGTATATGTGTATAGTAATGCATTAATTAGAATTATCCATTCGATTCAAAGATGCGTTCGTTTAAGGTTACTTAAAGGGACTGTGAGCGTAATTTCAGGTGGCCCTCGATCCATACACTTAAAAGCTTTGTCGTATCAAGTATGAATTATATATTAATTTTTGTAATAATAAACTGATTATTTTTAATTGGGAGGTTCTCTAAAAAAGTGACTTGCGCATTTCTACTGAAGGAAAAGATTTAGGAATTACCAGAATTTAACATTTTAAACCCTATAAAAACGACATATCTTGAACATTATTGATCGGATAAGGTTTTTAATCTGGTACCGGCTGTGAATCGGGTATTCCCATCTTTTTATTGGGGTCTCTGGAAACTACGGTTTCAGTATCTTTAAGATTAGTTTTTAGCAGGATTCTCTAGTCAGCTCAGGTTTAAAATATTTGCAACCTTTTTTGACTTAAGTCGTATGGTATTGTGTGAAAAAAATCTAAGTTCAGTTTTTATTTTCTCAAGTCATTCTGTACATTTGCATTATTATCTGTCAACATCTCTAGATATAAAAATAATCATAATTAACATGGAAATTGGGTGGCGATAATACCTATTCGATCATTCATATATTACAAGTGTCTTAAAAAAATCACTAAAATAAAGAAAAATTTCCAATGTTTAGATATTCCAACTTTATTTTAACTTCCTAATCATTTGAATGTAAATTACAAGTCGCTCGTTTTATTAATTTGTATAAACATGGTTCCCCAATCCCCACAATAGAAGAGACGTATAGCGATCATAGTTTCAACATTTTTGATCAGATAGATTTGAAGAGTACCGTAGTAAATCGGGCATGCTCCTCTGTAAAAATTATAACAGTTTTCCCTTTAATTAACATTCAATGACTATTTGAAAAAACTATAAAAACTGATATTTGCTGCAGGACGTATGAGAGAGGATCCTGGGTTGAAACTTCTCATGGAGGAAGTATTGTAATGGTAAATGCATTCTACAGTCCTAACAGTAATACCATGATAGTTCCTATTGGGATGCTACAGGACCCGCTCTACTGGAGTCAACCAAAATCTCTTACTTTTGGGGCATTTGGTATTGTTGTAGGTAGGTTTGTTTTATATCTCATAGTATAGTGTAGGTAGGTTTATTTTATACGCGTGCACAGTATCTGTAACTAGGATAGGTTGATTTTATACTTTGTAGTCCCCTAGAACATATTGATTTAATACTTTGCAGAGTAGCATAAAATTGATTTAATACTTTGCAGAGTAGCATAGGATTGATTTAATACTTTGCAGAGTAGCATAGGATTGATTTAATACTTTGCAGAGTAGCATAGGATTGATTTAATACTTTGCAGAGTAGCATAGGATATATTGATTTTATACTTTGCATGATAGCCTGGAATCGGTTGATTTTATACTTTGCAGAGTAGCCTAGGATAGATTGATTTTAAGGCTTGCAGAGTTATAGCTTAGGATAGGTTGATTTCATACGTTGCAGAGTAGCCTAGGATAAATTGATTTTAAAGCTTGCAGAGTAGCCTAGGATAGGTTTATTTTATAGTTTGCAGAGTAGCCTAGGATAGGTTGATTTCAAATTTTTGAATGCATTGTCTTTTTTATTTCAGAGTACAGATACAATACACTGTAAGCAGATATACTAGGTTTATAGGTTTATAGGTTTATTTAAGTACTGTACGTGTATAGGTTTATTTAAGTACTGTACGTGTATAGGTTTATTGGTATCGTAAAAGCAGTATGAAGAGTTGGAGTATCCATGGTTATCTAGGATATTAAATCCGTGAATGGAATAACAAAAATAATTGTTCTTGTGAATTAGCTTGAAGACATAAAAACAACATTTTGCGGCTTAATGGAATAATTTAAAACTTTTCTATCCCTGAATATACATTATGCAGTACATAACCATAAATATTACATGTTTTGTCTGTACACAGACTACAGAGTGTGATTTTTACTTATTTTTGTTTTAAATTATCTTTTTGCTGATGCTTACAGGCATTTAACAAAAAAAGGGGTGAAGCTATTGTGTTTAGGTTTGGATGATGGCAGAAAATGAAAATAAGTAATAAATACAAATAAGATTTTTATTGCGTTTTGAGGCCTAAATTCGACATGTTGGGCACATAGAAATCGGAATTGGACAGATGGGGAGCATTGCAAATGCAATCTGAGTTTGATAGATGGGCCCATTGCAAATGCAATCTGAGTTTGATAGATAGGCCCATTGCAAATGCAATCTGAATTTGACTGATGGGCCCATTGCAAATGCAATCTGAATTTGACAAATGGGCGCATTGCAATCTAAATTCGACAGATGGGCGCATAGCAATCTGAATTTACAGATGTGCCCACTACAAATGCAATCTGAATTTACAGATGGGCCCATTGGAAATGCAATCTGAATTCTACAGATTTGCGCATAGCAATCTGAATTTGACAGATGGGTCCTTGGAGCGGTAAATTTCTATAAAAGTCTATTTTTTATTTTACTGAATGATAATATTGTCGAACCAAAGTACTTTATATATTTACAAACTCGGAGATCCTAATTTTCCTCTGAATACCTAATTACACTGTAATGTTCAATTCAAATCCAATAGAACAGATTACATTATTGATGAAGTTGATGAACCACTTTATTTTAAACACTTTAAAAAATACATCTGGAATAAATAAAAGTAATACCAATCCATACTTTAAAAATTTCATTAAAAAAATATTTTAGTCGGTTTAATTACAGAAAAATACCACAAGTGTGGAAAAGAAATGTATGAAATGATTTTATTTTCATAAAATCAAATGAAATGTTTTAACTTAGAGAGTTTCATCGCAATTTAACTGCAAAGGAAATCTTTTCAAATTTAAATAAAAATTCTAAAAAAATATAAAATTCTAAATTTAATTTTAGCACACGAGATAACGCATGCGTTTGATGACGAAGGGATAAACTACAGTCACCAGGGAGCCATGGATCAACTTTACGATAATATTACCCTTGCAGCATTTCATACACAAGCTAACTGTATCAGGGAACAGTATTCAAGATACTCAATATTAGGTAATATTACTTGATTAGGTCATGATTAAATTTTTAAATTGTATTCTAGATCATGAATAAACCAGTATATTGTAGTCTAGATCATAAATAAACTCGTATATTATATTTTAGATCGTGAATAAACTAGTATATTGTATTCTATATCATGAATAAACTAGTATGTTGCATTCTATATCATGAATAAACTAGTATGTTGCATTCTATATCATGAATAAACTAGTATATTGTATTCTATATCATGAATAAACCAATATATTGTGTTCTAGATCATGAATAAACTAGTATATTGTTGTCTAGATCATGAATAAACTAGTATATTGTATTCTATATCATGAATAAACCAATATATTCCATTCTAGATAATGAATAAACCAGTATATTGTATTCTAGATAATGAATAAACTAGTATATTGTATTCTAGATCATGAATAAACTATAGGTATATGGTATTCTAGATCATAAATAAACTATTATATTTTATTCTAGATCATGAATAAACTATTATACTGTGTTCTATATCATGAATAAACTATAGTTTAGTGTATTCTATATCATGAATAAACTAATATATTGTATTCTAGATAATGAAAAAACTATTATATTGTATTCTAGATCATAAATAAACCAGTATATTTCTGATCATGAATAAACTGGTATATTGTATTCTAGATCATGAATAAACTAGTATATTATATTCTATATCATGAATAAACTATTATATTGTATTCTAGATCATGAATAAACTTGTATATTGTTTTCTAGATCATGAATAAACTTGTATATTGTATTCTATATCATAAATAAACTAGTATATTGTATTCTAGATCATGAATAAACTTGTATCACGTATTCTAGATAATGAATAAACTAGTATATTGTATTCTATATCATTAATAAACTAGTACATTGTATTCTAGATCATGAATATACTAGTATTTTGTATTCTATATTATGAATAAACTAATATATTGTATTCTATATCATAAATAGACTAGTACATTGTATTCTAGATCATGAATATACTAGTATTTTGTATTCTAGATCATGAATAAACTCGTATATTGTATTCTAGATCATGAATATACTATTGTTTTGTATTCTAGCTCATGAATAAACTTGTATTTTGTATTCTAGATCATGATTAACTCGTATATTGTATTCTAGATCATGAATATACTAATATTTTGTTTTCTAGATCATGAATATACTAGTATTTTGTATTCTAGCTCATGAATAAACTTGTATTATGTATTCTAGATCATGAATAAACTTGTATATTGTATTATATATCATGAATAAACTAGTATATTGTATTCTAGATCATGAATATACTAGTATTTTGTATTCTAGATCATGAATAAACTTGTATATTGTATTCTAGATGTACCTGTAGATGGAAACCTGACCCTAACTGAGAATCTGGCGGACCACGGTGGTTTAAAGATGGCGCTTTCTGCCTACTCCACGTGGAAACAGGAGCACACTGATCTTAAACTTCCGGCTCTACCTTACTCAGATATTCAACTATTTTTTCTAGGTAAACAGAGGTTGGAACTTTTGTTTAAGACAGCGCTAATTTGGGCTTGATCCACAGCAGCAATTTTTAATCAAAAAGTGTAATGTGAAAGGTTAATGTCACATTGTCTATACGCAACATCTTCTCTACTGAACTTCTGACCGACTGCAATGTTCGGCCTACGACAAATGTTTTTTTTATTATTTGATGGTTAAATTACGTTAGGACATGATCTGGGACGAGCGCTACAGCTAGGAAATGCTGAGGTATCGAGCGCCTTGTCTTAGACAATCTAAGGGGCCGGGCGCTGCGGTCTCATATCCATAGCAGCTGTAGAACAATGACCAAGTAGGATAGATAGCAGTGTAGTATGGCGGATTAGCGAAGGTTGACAGAAACACCGTCAGTGAGAGTTGCATATTTCAGAACAAAAATATCAATCCTACCCTCTCCCCTTCAAATCCATAACTTTATAATCAAAGAATTTAGAGAAGAAAAAAACATTTCTTTGTTTAAAATAGTCATATCATATCATCATATGATTCATATTACAATATCAAATTAAACCTATATCCATCCCGAAGTCAAAACTTCTGTATAAAATGGCGCTCTCTACATCGCTTGATCTCGATATTCACCATGACAACCTCTAGAATTGAAAAATAAGTGCTGAATCACTTCATTTATTATAGTCAAGTTATCTCTGTCAAACTTTAAGTTTTTCTTAAATATCTACATAATCCTGCACTTCATAAAATATATGTTCAAGTGATAAACTTGTTATTTTCTCATCAACCTTTGTTGATCCTTGACTCCTTGAGCTTTATTGTTTTTTCAATAAAGGTTGAAGATATGAAGGATAAACACTCATTCTTTGATAAAAGCCAATAAACTTTATCCTTCTATTAAATATCCAGAAGCTAGGCAACATTATTATTAAAACAAATCGTGAATCAACTACATTTATGAATACATTTATGAAAACATAATATAAATCTTGGTTAAATGAATGTAAAGGAAAAATGAAAGGGGGATGAAACCTGAAAATTTTTATTTTGCATTTTAAAAGATATAATTGATAATATAATTACATATAGTCTGTATAGTACATACTACGTCACTGTGAACTTCAACCAATGGCAGTGCAGTATCATTGTCGCGTGATACAGGCGGAAATCATGTGACCATTATACTGCACTACCATTGGCTGAAGTTTTGGTGACGTAATACAGCTATACGGAGTAAATATAATAATAAAATCAATTATATATATTAAAAATGCAAAAAAAATATATATAATAGAAGCAAACATAAGATTCTCAGGCTCCTGTGGGATATCGTAGTTTTCAGATTGGTTGCGTATTTTTTGAATATGATCTGTTTAATACTACAACTTTTATACAAAACTGCATATATATGGATTTTCGTATAAATTTGACACAGTTTTATATCAATTTCTCAAGACAGGAACATTAGATATATGTTTTTATATTTATCGTTTAATGCCTGAGATTCTCAGGTTTCATCCTATACCCCCTTTCATTTTTCCTTTACAGTCCCTTTAATAAATGAAATTACAAAATTTTCAAAAACAAAAATAAAGATTTTCTGTCGTTTTTAGAATGACTTACAAATTTCATATACAATCCCTTTAAAACTAATTTATTTCCAGGTTACGCGTTACCGTGGTGCTCAACGCACTCGGAGTCTCACAATTCTCACGTTATGAAGGACGAACATTCTCCCGGCAGGTTCGGATACAATTATTTACCTTTTCTTGCATTTTCAAATATTTTTATCCTAGCTCAGTAAAGTTTTGACGCGTCGCCTAAAGATATTTTTAACTCTCAATCTTAAATAAGGGTCGAACCATAGATAAAGATAGATTGCGCATAAGACGACATTTTTCATCTTGAAAGATATAAATGTACAGAGATAATTTAAAGATATTCCCAAGGAGAATTGAATACAAGGAGGGCGCAATAGGGTTTCCGTACACTTTGCTGTGACGTATTTGGGCTGCTGGAGAACTAGTTTTTGCGTAAAAACAATAATAAAGATTGTAAACAATAACACAAATGATAAACAGACATTGGTGCATCTCTGTCGTTAGATGAAGATTCACCGTATACTAACTCATGTTTGTTTACATTAGATCGGCTGCCTTTATTATTGTTGTTACGCAAAAACTAGTTCTCCAGCAGTCCAAATACGTCACAGCAAAGTGTACGGAAACCCTATTGCCCCCTCCTTGTATTCAATTCTCCTTGGATATTCCTATTATATAGATTACCTAGGTCGGTTGTGAACATTGTCATTGAGTACTTATGGTGTACATGAGTTCTGTAGAGAGAAATTTAAGTTAGTTTAGTCCTTCTCATGTCCTTCTTCAGTTCTCGTCAATATGATAGTGAAATATTGTTGTTCAAATAGTTCCATTCCCGGAGTTATTTCACACTCTATTATGAAATCCATTAAAACACCAAACCACCCCGCTTATCATTGAAGCACACTTTGACCCCTAGAAGTATGAGTTCGCGGACCGTACAATTCTTGGTGATTTTGTGTACTTAAGCTATCTATGTTTATTTATTTATCTATGGGTCGAACTCAAGCCTTCAAGAGTTACTCTAGATTAAATAAGGCTCACTCAAACCTTACCATAAGTTACTCAAGCTTAAACAAGGCTCACTCAAGCCTTCTTAAGAGTTACTCAAGCCTTATTAAGAGTTACTCAAGCTTAAATAACCTGGTCACTTAAGCCTTAGCAAGAGTTATTCAAGTCTAAACAAAATTTACTCAAGCCTAGGTAAGAGTTACTCAAGCCTTACCAAGAGTTACGCGAGTCTAAACAAGAGTTACTCAAGCTTAAGCAAGTTACTCAAAGTTAGTCCGAGTTAGATTAAAATCTTACATGTTTTCAACCATAACTCATTTTTCTGAAGATCTAATGAGAAGAACAAACATGGATTAAATACAAAATATACAATCAAATGAATTTTGTCATTGCATACAAATGGGCCTAAAATTAAAGCTTGAGAATCTAGGAGGTCACAAAGTCGTAACAAGAATTTTGCATGTCAAGATTAGCTAGTTTGGCAGACCAATAAAAAACAACAAACTTTCACAATAGATCCTCGAGATTTGATGGTTACAATCTGCCCAAACAAATCTCTTTTCAGATCTTTCTTGTATTTGGGACAGGAAAAAAGTTTCTGAACAAAGAGTGACGAAGAAATTTTTGTAAACAAAGGAAAAATTCTTTTGTTTGAAATTAGAGAGAGCTGCTTTATCTTCACAGCTTGACATTTATTATTATTATTTTTACTTTCTTTTTAATTTATTTTATTCTCTTCAGGTTCCGAGTACAGGGACCTTTATCCAACAGTGAGGAGTTTGCTGCGGCTTGGAATTGTCCCAAGGGGTCTAGGATGAATCCTGTTGATAAATGTACTGTTTGGTAAACATCAGCTTTTTATCGTATATACACACTGCAGAGTGTTGCAGAGAGTTCAGTTCTCGCTATTGTATGTATGTACGGTGCTATGACAAACTTCTGAAATAAGTACAAACTTTCAAAATACAAACTCTTGAATAATAACTTAAATTATCAAACTCCGGACATTTTTTCAAACAGAAGTATTTGAAACAATTGGGGTTAGATTTATCCTCCTGAAGCGTTTAAGATTTTTTTTTCTGAAGTTTATTTTTGTGAAGTTTTCATGGTACCACAGGTCAAAATAAGCTCGATGTGAAGTATGCCGTATGCTTAATGAGCTTAGCTTTTAATACTACAGGAGTAATATTAGTATATATTTGGTTTTATAAACCTCTTTTTTTCACATCATCTGAATTATGGGAAAAGATTAAACAGCGTCCCAAAAAAATATTTGGCATAGTTTACAATGAAAGTATTTTTAAGACTTTTTCAAAGTTAAAATATTATCCATTTCTAACATCGTAATTATAAAAATATTATTTGTTTACAAGAATGTTAAAACACGTTTATAGTCATGTACAATGTACATTGTACAGCTTGGAATCTGTAATCTACTAAATGTGTATAGTCATGTTATACGAGTTGTGCAGGGTGTCCCAATAAACATGAGAATCAAGTGACGACTTATATATCGTCTTTGGCCCTTGCGGTATTATAACGAACATAATTTTAGTAGTATTCTAGCTAGTAGGGTTTCCACGAAATGGCTAAATCTTTTGCGCAAAATTTGCGCTATTTTCGCGCAATTTTTTTTTTTGCGAACTTTTGCGCTATTTTTGCGCATGAAACGCAATGAGTTTTGCGCGGTTTTCAGCTATTTATTTTGCGCAATTTGCGCAAAACCGGAAATATTTTTTTGCGAAAGTTGCGCATGAAACGAAATTTTAGTTTTGCACAATTTTTTTTTTCGCAATTTGCGCAAAACTGCAAGTTTTACGCAAAATGTAACTTTTTAGGCACATTGTCAAAAATTGATATTCTAAACTAAGAATTAAACAACTGAAGATTTATTCCATACATAAAAAATATTAACATACGAGTATGATAACGATTATACTACACTCAATTGGTTGCTTCCAGTAACAAAAAGTTTAAATTATGGGACCAAAATTAATAAAATAGAAATTAGAGAGTGTGAAACTTGGCAATATTTTAATCCTATTAAATAATTTCAAGTGACCCTTAAAAGCTTTGCCTAATCAAGTATGAATTATGTTCTTAAATTTTTTTAATCAAATTTCTGAAATCTTTTTTATCTCATATAAAATAATGCAAGAAAGTAACCAGTGCCTGAAGAATCCACTTTTAGGAAATCTGCATGTCCGAAACTAAAATTGTCGAGACTTTTACTGGACAATCTGTTTCGGATTTTGGTACGAAATTGCGGAATTGCGCAAAACTTGAGTTTCGCAAAAGCGGAATAGGGCAATTTTGCGCGAAATGACTTTTGCGAATAATTGCGCAAATTGTTGTATTTTCGCGCAAAACTGATGCGCAAAGAAAGAAAAATTTTGCGTTTCGTTCCGCAAAAATTGCGCAAACGTTTTGCGAATGGAAACCCTACTAGCTAGTTAAAACAGTTAACAATTTAAACTAATAGTCTTAGGAATTCCAAAATGTGGTTAACCATCTTGGCTTCTACGCCTTCAAAATTGACGGAGATATTAATTCCCATGTTTATTGGAATAAAAACGTAAAAGAATTACTATTGCATGTTTTCGATTCAAATATAAAATATGATTTTTAATGTTAATTAAATCTAGTTCTCCTGATTAAATTAGTTTTAATATTAAACTGCTAAAGTTATTGTATAATCAACACTTATTATTCAATATATTATTATTTATTTTACTGTTAATACTTTAGATGATTATTTATATTTTTGGCGAATTTTAGTTGGAATATAATCTTGTTTTGATATTCTGTTCACCTTATAATCATAACAATTTTTGGTTGGTTTGGTTTAAATCAGTTCTAGCCATGATATTCTCACATGGTAGTTCTATCTGTGATAGATTTAAATCCCTCTCCACCCTTGACATAGATGGAGGAAAAGTTCTTGATAGACAGTCATTACTGGATTGACGGTCATTAGTATTAGAAGGTAAATCTAAGAAAACATTATCAAAATCAGATGTAAGTTGTGTCATGTATCTCTGCGGTAACACTATGTTGTGGATTTGTTGCTGCGTGGGTAGGTTGATTTTGCTGGTATCTGGCTAGCAGTCGGGCTTCTTTCCTCACAACCATTAGTCTATCCTTCAGACTCCCAAACTCCCCAACCAAAGCATAATCTCGGAAATATTCTGCTCGATTTCTGCCAAAAAACACTATGTCTATTATTTTTCTATGAATTTTTCTGAATTTGTAGCAAGCTCCCCCCATTCAAAAACAGTAGCTTTGATGCGGGTAACATCATTTCTTAGTCTCATATCAATAGAATTAGAACCCCTCTTGGACCAAGTCAGGATTCTAGTTTCTAAACAGGTCCCAATATTGTTGCAATAAGATTGTCAATAAATCCTGTGACATAAATATGAGGGGTGGAAATGCATCTATCAATATTAAAATTAGGCAATCTATCTGAACAGAATCAGCTGGGTTTAAAGTACTGCTCTGAACATCCCCATTACCTTCAGACTGAACGTCTTCTTCCCGCTCCCCGTATATCTTCACGTCATGCAGACATGATTTCTCAATATTTAAAGGTCTTTGGTCCAAAAGAAATTGAGATTGAATATAAAGCGATCACGCTGACTGCCCTACTGTTCAATGATCTATCTATATCCCTAAAAAGTATGGTTCTTGCTGAGCAGACCGGAACCCTAACTACTTTTCACTCTGTCTCTATCCAATCTCTTCCAGTAAAGACAAGCAGTTAGTTTGGCTGGTTCAATCTACAAAAAGAGAACCTCTTTATTGTAGAAAAGAACTAAAAAACACATTAAAAAGATATATATATAATCGTTGATAATGCGATAAAAGATGTATGTACAACTTCAAGGTAAGCCCTTTCCTGTATAGTATAATCAAACTAAAAGAAATAATAAGTGATTTGGTCTACCCTGTACAGTACAAAACATATGCCTATCCCGTGAACAAACAAATACCTCATGAAAACGAAACATGGAATCTGTCTGGTCACAAAACATTTTTTTCTGAAAATATCAGCATTTAAGCCGCAAAGTAATAATAAACGATAAATTCACAGATATATGTTTCTTGATCCGCTGCTAAGCCAACCACTCAGACAGTACACACTGAGAAACTTTTAACAATCCCCACGATTTCCCTCATATTTACAAGTAAAACTAGTTTGGTGCCAGAGTCTAGAGAGTACACAGACACTGCACACTTTCAGATCCAGGGGCATCACAGAAACTAGGAGAAATCATCCAGGGGCTACTCATGAATAGATTGAGATCATCTGCTCGTGAAACATTGGTTTTAGCTTGTTTTGAGCCCAGGCTGAACCAAACAGATTATTAAGTACAATAGGTGGCAACAGAGAAATGGACAAATTAATAGATGACGTCACAAGTGTCAAATATATCAAGGAAGACAACATTTTCTCACATTAGTTGACATGTTTTCCAAGATTCACTAAAAAAAGTTAAAACAGAAAATAAAGAACACAAAATCGGAAACATAAAACTGTTAACACTTTGTGACGTAAGAAAACAGCTGTTCTGAGAATGTAAACAAATTCTACGTTGCCATCTATTGTAATTGATATTCTATCTGGACTGAACCAGTTTTATATAATGGACAATGATCAACAAACACTAATATTGGTCGACACAGAAACAGATTTTGCAAAACGAATCTAATATCAAATATCCAATATTAACTTTAGACTGTATCATGATGAAGGTGTTTTATAAGACTTTGTCCGAAGCTAAACAAAACTTTAATTGAATATTTCCAAACCTATCCAACATGTCACAAGAAGTTATACAGATAATAAAAGAATCTTTAACTAACGAACTAGGATATAACCTAGAACTTTAGAACTAGGCTAGAACCTAAAACTATAAATAGAACTAGGAAAAAACCTAAAACTATGATAGAAACTAGAACTATAGAACTAGGATAGAACCTAAGACGATAGAACTAGGATAGAACCCAGAACTAGAGAAATAGGATAAAACCTAGAACTTTAGAACTAGGATAAAACATAAAAAATATAACTAGGATAGAACCTAGAAATATAGAACTGTAGAACCAGTAGATTATAACCTAGAACAATAGAACCAGAAGAGTAGAAGCAAGTATCGTAGAACCAGCAGAAACAAAAAACAAGAACCCTAGAGCAAGTCGACTAGAACCAGAGTTGTAGAATAAGAAGAAAAGACTCAAGAACCGTAGAACAAGAATAATAGAACCAAGAACCATATAACCAGAAGAATAGAACTAAGAACTGTAGAATAAGAATTTTTTAAAATTTAGATATTTATTATCTCCATATCGAGATTATTTTAAAGTTAAAAAATTTGTTTGTATTATTTTTAAAAAAAGGTTGTACGATGATAACGTGGTAATACATTTACATTCTTTGTATTTTAGTTTAGAAAATTCTTTAATTTGTGGATAAATTTTTCTCTTTTTCTTTCCAAAATTCATATTAAAATTTGTTTCATTGGAGAAAAAATCCTTTTTCAAGTATTTTGGACTATGGAGTTAATGCGAGTTACAGTACTGCTGAGAATAGAGTCCTCTTTTTTGTAGTTAGCTTGAATGAATTTAAAGAACAACATTATATATTCAAATATTGACAAATCTGCAATTCCAACAAAACATTTACATGTTACATAAAAAGATAACATATCGGAGCGCGAGTTGAAATAAAACATGCACAATGTGTCCTGTCGTTTGAAAAGAAATAAGCGGCGATTAAATTTTAAGCTTGTTTTCAAGGACCATTAATAAATCTTTGGTTTAATTTCCCATAAATTTTCTTAAATACATTTCGGAGCGCGATTCTCCGCTAGTGTAAGTATATTTTAGCCGGGGTATTCATTTCTTTGTGCTTCCGTATCTCCGACCAATCGTTGATCTTTGCCGGGAAGTCATTAGGCTCTGATAAACATAAAGAGGTGCGAGTTTTAAAAATAGTGGTGTTAGCGTCATAACAAGGAATATTGATGGTTCCTTGTTAATATTGGATCTTCATGTTCCAGGATAATGGAAAGAAAAAAAATTTCCGTCTCTTCGTGTTCATCTTCTCGTGGCTGATACTGCATGCTCGTTCACAGTTCCAAGGTCGTATTATCAGTGCGGAGGAATTCATCTTCGCGATCGCATGCAGTTCAGGAGACGCTTGCTCTCTCTGTCACAATTTACAGTTCGTCCGTTATATTTTCGCGGAAAAATTCCTCTCCGAGATCAGTCAGTCTGGAAGAATTCCGCTAGCATTTCGTAATCAGGTTCATACTGAATAAATGTAAAAAAAAACTAATTAATATTATGACTCGGGTCAGAAAAATTAAATAACAGATCCATAGTTCAAATAAAATCATAATAGTTTTAGTAGAGTATTCATAGTTCAAGTAATGGATCCATAAAAAGTTGAAAAATGAAAAAATCTCCAAATTAAAATTTGTTTCAGAGGCTTAGCAATTAAATTCTGAAATAAACTAGAAGTCAAATTTTAAGTTAAAATTGAAGTTAGAGGACAAATTTTGATATTTTCATCAAGAGGCTTTAAGTTAAAACCAGACTCAAGATCAGACTTGCATTTAGAATTGA